TCAAATCCATGACGTTCCGAAGAAACTCGCCCTGCAAGGAACCGCCAGCCCTCTTCTCGGTGCTCTGCCGACTGCCGGGGTGCGGGCCATCTGCTGAGCCGCGCCAACCGTGCCTCTCCGATTGGGTGCGAGCAGGTTCCGGCGTCGCAGCCTCTACAAACTTCCCGCGAAACTCCGGCGAATGCACGCATAACTCTTCGTTGAGCGCGTCACTGGCACGTGGCGTGAGCTATTGCCTCGAGCAGACTCCAAGAGCTTTGATCAATGTGCGTGCTCCCTGGCTTCCAACGGTGCGTTCACGTTTTATTTCATTCGTTTATTTATCTAATCGAAGGATACTGCCGGACGACTTTTGTAGGCCGAGCCATTAAGGAGAGAGACGGGGAGAGACACTTTATTTTAAGACAACTCCAAGTCCGACTCGTCGCTTCATGGAAATACTCCCTTATGAAATAAAAAGAGAAACATACAACTCCTAGGGTTTTGTGTTTTCGCTAGATACCGATAAACCCCGAAAATTAACCCCCGAGCTGGTTTGATCAAATTTAGGGAAATATAAAAACTCAAAATCGAAGCTGCCAAATATAAAAACCCAAAACTCCACAAAAAGAAATAAGTGGCCGACATTCTTGCTGTTGCTATGCACATCCTCGAAGAAATGCGTTAACATTTTTAGTAGCGGTTTTAAATGACGAAGCACGGTGCTTGCAGCCTCCCAGCACTTTTCCGCGGGGAGAGCATTTCCAAGCTCCTCTCCTCCCTGGTGCAAGCAGATCAGTTAAATTTGTGCGTGCATGAAGGACGTGGCGCAATGCACTTAAAACGACAAAGTCATTTCGTTGTGGTTGTTCAATCACCGCGAACGTACGTATAATCCTGCGGCAGATAGATCATGCACATGAGCGGCCTGTGCAACGTGAAGTACGTCACACATACGCCTCCGTTTGAATGTTATGTAGTACATGGCAACTGAAAAGGGGGGGGGGGGGGGGGGGGGGGAGGGGGATCAAATTTATAGTGGTGCCGTTGCGCGACGCGGCTTCGTTAGTGTCCGTGCTCAGCGTCAGTCCGTATTGAGACCGCACGTGCTCTAGCAGCCACTGGTTGTGTCCGCCTCTAACGTTAACGTCCCCCATCAGGATGAGCGGCATCATATGGTGTCCTACATCAGTCGGGCTGACACACATGCGTTGGGTCGAAGAACGGAACCGCCGCCCGTGTGCGTCCACAGGTCTCCAAAGCTCGCGGCAGGAGCTTCCGAGGTCGTCCTCTGCGTACCCTAAGGCCCTTAGCGCATTCGTACCCTGCCCGCCATCTGACAGCGCTTGCGGGCGTTTCCTAGACAGTTTCCACAGCCCGTGCGGCTGTGGCGCCATCCCGTGGCGACGTTGCGAACTTTGGTTAGTCCAAACCAGCCCAAGGTCAGCGCATGTACAAAGGCCCTAATGCTAATGCATTAAAAAAATTAACAGTACAGCTTTATTCTGTCCTGAACGGGACCAGACGCTGAACTATCAGCGAGGCATCCTCTTCCCTAGGAACTATATACACCTTATCTTGCTTCTCCCTAATCGGTACCGAAACGTTTTCCAAGTATTCAGCTCACGAGCGTGTTCCGTGGAGGTTGGGGAGTCTTATGACCTGCGGGGAAAAAGTAACCCCCAAAAAAACACCGCTTTCAAATTAGAAGAAAAATAAACCTCGAAAACACGGAACTAGACAGATGACCTATGTATGCCTCATATCCCATGTAATATAAAAGGACCATATGATATGCATTTTTCCCATTGACGAATGCATAGGTAGATTTAATGGTTTACCGTGGTTATATACCGTACTCTGTCTGTCAGAGGGCAGATAAATGGTAGAGTTTTTCTTCCACTCGTATTTACTAATTTTTAATTAACCAAATTTTAACTGAACAAATGTGGCGAACAGCAGCCGTCAATGATTTGCGGGTTTTATGTGTATGGTGACAGGTGTATGGATATGGGAGATTTTCTTTCACCACTTAGAAGATCGCTAATAAAAGCACCTAGTTTTCTTTTTGTTTTTTTCTTTATAGGGTCTTTCATATGGCATTATGAGATATTGGTGGTATGGAATCCCGTTGTCGTTGTTTTTAGCAGGGGGTATACAAAAGGGAAAGAATGATGTACAAATGAACCATACAAAAATGCGCACATTCTATTTTCCAAGAAATATAAAATAAACGCCAAAACGTCTATTCAATAGACATTTCGTAAAATATCATTTTTTTTAATGCCATATAGACCGACATTTCCTACATCCTCACGGTGTTAGCAATGCTGTTCAAAAGCACGTGACATTCTTACGAAGCGAGAAGGCGTGCGCTTTTTTTTCTGAGCTTTGAGAGTGTTGTGAAGACTCTTGCGTAAGCGGTTCTCCTCCACACCACCCTCAAAGGAAGCCCCTTCTCAAACCTAGTCTCAAACACCTGATGGCTCGAGTGGCGAACATAATCCGAGAAATGTGCATTGCACGATAATGAAATAAAAGTTAGCCGAGGAAGAAATAGAACATGTAGTTTACGAACGCCTTGTATTGTTTCGCGCTTTCCGGTCGAATTGGTTCTTCGTTCAGCGTATTTGAAATCAAACACGACGGCGGTCACACGGATAGTCTGTACGCGAAGAAACACACCCGAGATATTTCTTTCCTAACATGCGGTACTTTAAGGAACGCCACAGGCATGGGCAGCAGAGTGACAGCGAGCTCAAGGCTCCATTAGCTTGGTTTCTGTCGTGTACATGTAGAGCAGCAGCTGCAGGCCGATATCTTCTCGGAACCTGGTATCAGCAGTCTTTGAAAAGGGCCGCCTTTTCCGCAACACGCGCTAAGCACAATGAGCGATGGATGCCTGTTTCGAAGAAGGGTGGGAACCAATATCCGTTAAATAATTTGAGACATTTAATTATAGCAACTATCGCGATCACCAGGCCTTACAATTATTAGGGAGAGTCTGTCACTTGTCAAGTCTGGGCCGTCTAAACTGGCATGGGTTTTAAGCCAGAAGTTTCTATTGATCGGCACTTTTTAATGTTTTCCGAATTCTGCGCAGCAATTTTAGGATGCGTTCCACGCTCACACATTTCCATTTGGAGTGTTTCGCATATCACACATCGCCCATGAGATGATCAAGAATGATTGCGGGTGTGTTCACACGAATTAGGTCTAGCACATGTTTATTTAGTGTACAAAACAAAGAATAGCATACCATCTGTGTCGTGATACGTTTACCAAAGACACACTAATGTTAACTTGTCAAGTGTGGTTTCTGCTTTGCTTTTTTGCTTTATTTTAGAGTTAGGTGTTTACAGTTATGGCCGGTCCAGATGTACAACTCAGTGCTAAATCAATACTAAGAAAAGCGCTTTTGCAGCGCTAACTCCACACTACGAACAGCGCTGTTGCAGCGCTTACTATAGAACGTATACGGTATAGTAAGCGCTGCAACATCAGTCGCTGAGTTTATAACTTAGTGACTGATGCAGCTCTGTGTCACCGCTGTATTACGAATATAGCGCTATGTTAGCCCTGTATCAGCAAGGTCAGCGTTATTAACGTGAAACGTTCTTTGGCTAGGTGTTGGGCATTTTGTGAAGCCGAGATAAAAGTGTGGCCTCAAGGCTCGACACTGATTGGTTGACGGGTGGGAGAAGAGGAGCGAGGTGCTCGACGCTGATTTCACGGAGCTGTCATGTGGGGCATGTGACCAGAGGGGTAGGCGAGGAAGAGCTCGACCACCTCACTGAGGGAGAGGAACTCGAGGGTGTGGAAAGCTCTTGACGATCGCCATGTTTATCAGCCCGATTAGTGGGAGTATCGCTTCGTTTTAGGAGCAACTATCAACTTCAAGTGCACAAGTGGCACGCGTTACACTATCTGATGCAGAGCGCCGTCAACATAGGCGTCTGGTGTATGGACTCTCAGAGTGTATCTAAACGTTTGTGATGCGAGAACGTGTCAAGTATGCAACATGCCTATCAAATTGCCATAATCCTTTTGCGGCGTTGACTAATAGCGGTTAGGTAGAGTGCTATGGTGTGCTCAGGCCTTTACAAGCAAAGTAATTTTATGCATTTTATGAAATAGTTAGTGCGATGTTATTGACGGCTACGTGAATATATTCAAAATCTTCGTTGATTTTCTTTTTCTTGTAAAGTTTGTTTTGGAGACTGTTGAAGACAGCCTTTTTTTTTTTTTGTAACAGGGCGTTTTGAGGGGCAAGTACTGCTACATGTCTGAAACGGTGGGCCATAGCGCACTTACCGACGAGTATTGAGTATGTTACGTCAGATGAAGCCTTCATACTTTCAAACCGCACAGTACAGCAGGCACCGTTGAGACGCTTGCACACTTCAGCACCTATTTTATTCATTACGCAAGGTATACAACGAAACTCGCCGGTGCGGTTAGAAAAAAACAAAAATATACCATAAAAAAACCTCTTGGTTAGAGTATAAGCTAAGGCAAAGCAAACGCTAAAAAAAAAAAGAATAAACTGGCGAATAACATTGACAGTCATGGAGGGTTTGGTTTGGACTTAATGAACTCGTAAAAAAAAGTACTATAACCTCTCACAGATTAAGAAGCGCAGGGCGTGGTTTATAATATTCATATTTCTTGCTTAGTTATTCGTTAATTGTTCGGCATTCCTCTTGACAAATGCCGTAATATCATTACCTGCGGAGCGATAACGACATGCGCAAGATTCGCCACACCTCGCATTTCTTCAGTTTTGAGTGACATTGAATAAAACGTTGGCACCTTTGCAAAAAGTAATTCTTGAGGGGCTCAAGACATAACAGGCGAGAAAAGAAATCCAAGTCTCACGCGCAGGTTTTCCAGGACATGCGGGCAGTCTAGGCGTACTCGACGGAAATCAAGATTGGTCGAGGACTGCGCGACCAGCGCAACACTAAAAACACGAAGTAGGCGTTTTCAGCCCATAACCGAGAGCTCTGAACAGGAAAGGGTTAACCCCCACACTTGTGGCAGGAGCAGTCTTGCGGCTCTTCCAGGAATATGGTCATGCTTCCCTCGGCGCCATACAACTTCTGGCCGTTCGGGTCGAAGCAGTCCTGGAGTTGAATCTCCCGCTTGTTCATGTACGTCTCGCGGCAGCAGTTGCACTCCTGGGATTGAGAAATGAAGCGAATGAGCGCGGAGTATGTATTGTTCTTTTTAAAAGGGTTACCACCACAGTAATAATGTAAGGCGTGTAAAATATTGACCGCATTGAGTCAGTATACGGGATAGGGTGCCGTAAAAATAAGGAAAGCCATAAGGGTTCTGTGTGCTCCACGTAGTTGACTGACCAGGAAGACCAGAATGTGGGGGCCTCCGAAGTCTTCATGGGCAGATCTTATTCGACTCGGCGAAATAGATTACAACCGGTTTTAAAATGTTTGTTAGAATGAGCCGAGTTTCTATTAAAGGCGAGAAAGATTATGTAAAAATTGGAGCTCTGAAATGTGAGGGTTACTTGATCATTGCTTGATGGTTGCAGCGATAAAAAAAAAGTTTTAGTAGTCCACCAAACATCGTTCTTTCTGCAAAAAATGTGTACGTATTAGAGAAACAATATACCTGGCCGTCATTTTTTACCTTATATAGAATTTATTTTTGAAACTGATGCGAATTCTTCTAATGCTTTCTTTCTTTCTTTGCTGGACATCTTATGAATGTGATGTACAAAACGTGATGCTGAGCCTCGCGAAATTGATATGACGTGCAATCAGCATTTGGTTAGCCGTGAAGCGACGACATTAAAAGCAACAACACGAACCAACGGAGACTTGTCTGGCAAAAATAAAAAAAAGATGAGGTGACGTTACAGAGATACATTAGGGCAGCGGTTTTGCTGCATTTTGTGGTCCTGTTCCCAACAAAGTAATAACGTAAACCGACGTTTTAGAATCTCTACAGGAAGATTGATGTAAGATATTAGTTTTCAGAATACGATGTACACTACTTCCCCCTAATTTAAAATGTAGATTGTTTAAAAACAATAACACTCAATAATAGTTTAAGGCCCGTATTGACCTAATTCTTTATTATCTGCTTCCCGCAGTTGTAGGTCGTGGTTACATGTCAAGCACAGGAAAAGTGCGGGAAATACTCATTTACGAATGAATATGGTGTAAACTAAACGACTGCGTATGTGACCGTTCGTGATACCATATGAGTGTTCCATTAATTTATAAAGAGTGTCTTCATTATGAAATGAGAGACAAATGCCTCTAAATATATTTTTCATTTGCTTTGAATCAACCGTCATGGTTTAATATCTAACGTATTTGTTAGATTCCTCACTACACCGAGTTTTGACTTCTTAGGCGCTCTGCAAACTCAAAAAGGTATCGTGTTATGTAAAAAAATGTTTCTATGAGCAGCTTCTTTTTTTTTCTGACAACCTATTACTTTTCTGATGTTCGAACACATTCGAAAATTTACGATCAATAAAGCAACAACGCTTGACAGGGTTCAGATGACAGAGTTTGAACTCCTAAAGGATCCTAGAAGACAAGGTTAATAAACAAGCGAGCTGGTTAACATTACTCATGATTCTAACGGGGGCGACGGACAACAAAGAAGACAAAGGACAAACACTCACGCCTCACAGCTTGAGACGTGTGTGCTTGTCCCTTGCCCCTTCGTCGCGCGTCGTCTCCGGTTAGAACCATGTGTAAAGAATCCTGTCGCTTTCTTACACTATCCGTTTGAATTATGGGCGTAGCATAAAAAACGACGTGGCCCGAATTTTACGAGTTGCTCGGGCGTCAATCAACCGCGAAATAAAAGTGCCCCCACCTTGAGGAATCCGTGCGGCAGCGTGATGGAGGGCTGCACCTGGGAGATGCATGTCCCTTCGCAGCGGCTTACCAGGACGGTCCCTTCGCAGGTCCTCGTCAAGCTTCCCAGTTCGTCGTTCTGGTCCCTTGTGATGCGTATCGTGGTTGGCTGTAGGCGACAACTGCTGCCTCCATCCAAAGTGTCGCTCTTGGCCGTGGCTAGCAGGACAAGCCACAGCACTCCGTAAGTCCAACACTTCATCGGGGACTTCAGGCCTCCTAGTTGCTTCCGCTGATGCTTTGGATGCCTCCCAGAACGACTCGGGAGAGAACGCACAGGTATTGACTTTTTCGTGCAAGTGCGCGTTGTGAATTAGCAGACCGTTTGATCTTCAGCAGTTCTACCAATCTAACGGCCTTCTACTTGGACTGCTTAAGAGAAACAACGTGTTTGATTAACTTTTTCTTAGAGACCTTCTTAAGACTAACGCTGACTGCTAAACTAAAAGGTCTCACGACTTAGCGGGCCGTCCGATCTTTAGCCGATCTATCAATCTAGTGGTCTTCTACATGTTCAGCTTGAAAGAAATGAGGTGGTTGATGAGCTGTCTTCGGGTCCTTGTTGAATTTGGCGCTGGGGTCTGAGCTTCAAGATAGTATTCAAGAATGATTGGAGGTTGGAGGTCACTGTGAACTACAATCTAACAAATTTGAAGATAGTAACAAGTCGAAAAGGCGATAACGGTTCTCTACAATGTCCTATCTGAGTAAGAACAATTAATTTGCTGAATCTCGAGGAACCTAGACTTCAAGTCCTTCCAGGACCCTGCGGCGCTTGAAATACCTAGTCTTTTACTAAGTTCTAATTAAACCCCCTTGATATATAAGTCGTTCTTTGACTTAGATAGGAGTATAATCGCAAAAACCAGGTAAAGAATCAGCGTATATGCAGGAAGATATTTCTGGTTCGAGCAAAGACGGCGATGTCAATAAGACCTGACTACTAATGTCTGCCGGCACTAAGTACTTTGCTGGGGGCTGACTGTTGGTCACTGGCCGCCGCTGGGCAAACCACTGACGATTCTCGCGGTTGGAGTAACAAAAGGGCGACGGGGAAAGAGCTACGATTGGTTGGAGCGAGGACCCCCGCTGGTCGTCCACGATCAGCGGGTGTCGGCCGTTTTCACCTCGAGTGCATGTTGTCCGTAAATGCGGAAGTGGGGAAAAAAAAGAAAACGAGAGAGGGAGAGAGAGAGAGAGAAAGAGAGGCTGCTACGGAGTCCATTTCTATTTTACTATGGTTGATGTAACCGTGGAGTTGCGTGATGCTTTGGTGTGTGCGAGTATCAAACGTTTGATTCTGGGGTTCTCATTCTTCAGCCTCTTTGTGATATCCGAGCCATTCACGATTTCTGTATTGATGCGAGAAATGCATGTCCACAATTTGGACATCGACGTGCGCTGAAGCACGATAATCGGCTCGTAATATCTAGTAATTGAGTTATAAATATTAAAAAATGTATAAACGAACTTCCAAAAAAAAAAACGAAAAAAAAAGCGACGGAGACAGGGGAATTGCAGAACGACAGGTTGGTATGCCAACAGCGGTATCATATTCAGTGTGCATAAGCTGTGAGAAAGATTCCGTGTTTTCGGAGCTCATTTAAATTCAGAGGGTGTTTTTCGGAGTTCATTTTTCGCTAAAAAAAAGGGGGGGGGGGGGGGGTTATAGAAGTTTATTTTAGTTAGATTCCCAAACCATAACCTATTGTTTTGAAGGAACCTTGATGAGCTAAAAGGCAAAACTATTTTGTCTCTAGTTCGAGATTTCAAATGCAACTGAAGTGTCATCTCTTCAGGACCACTGGCTATGTGTTCTTTAAAATTTTATTTAAAAAAAATTTTTTTTTTTGCTTTTTATTTTGTCGTTGTGACCTCAAAACTCGGAGTTTTTCGGATAAATTCGAATGGACAAAAAAGTTGCCGGCGAGTGTTTTTCGGTTTTTGCTTTTCAGATTTATCCGAAAACACTGAACCCTAGTATATGAGTCATCATATGTAGCTTGGTACCTCTGAACTTTTTGTCATAATAAATGTGTTGCCATTGGCTAACGAAGAATCGCACTACCGTTTTATAGAAGAGACTCTTCCAGTTTTACTTTGTTTTATACTGCATAGAAAATTACAGCTGCTGGCTTTAATTCGGTTAGTTCTTCGTTCACTTCGCAGGAAAGTAGGTGATCAGGCTCTTTTCGTGCGCAACGCTGCGGAATCAAGGGACACACTGATTTTTTTATTATTTTTTATAACTGGAGAGACGATATGATTACGGTTGTATTGGATGTAATAAAGAAGAGAATAGCAAATCTAATAACGTCGACATACCAGGCCCTGTTTTAACATAAATAGTTCGACATATTAGGCCCTCTTTCAACAATTCATGGTTTCTAGGGGGTTTCATTTCGCCTTGAATTGTTCTAATGCATCAGCGTCGATTTGTGTCGTAACTTTATGGAAGCCTGAGCAGCACTATCACTATAGGCTCTGGCGTTTATTCGGATTACCCTACCGTGATTTTACGGTCAGAAATAATAAAAACTATAATCTAAATTGTTTCAATAAAACACAACCATAAGAATCCACTAGTTCCGTACTGATCCGGTGTTTGTGAATATTACAGCATTCTTTGACTAGATGTGCTCTGTGCGCGGCTGTCCACCTCAGTTTAACTCATCATTGTTTTTCTTCCATCATCTAAGTTAATTAAGGTTTGTTTTTTGTAATATTTTTAGCAATGTATGATGTTATGGCCACATATTCTATATCTATTATTTGGTTTTATGCACGGTTTGATTGGCTTCACACATTAACAGGAAAGGAACACTTCAACATTATGAAACATCACCCTATAGTTTGTCCTTAATAAACCTTTTTCAAAAGTCTGCGCCAACGTTTGTCCGCCATTGCTCGATCACATACCCAGTGCATGTATTGGACACGAGTGTGACGTCAGCGTTCGGCGAGGACTCGGATCCAATCACGCGCTTTGTGTCCTAGCAATGGCGACTGCCAATGTTGCTTGATGGACTTTTGAAAAGGGTCTATTGCGATGAAGATAGTTGGGAGTGTTGGATTTTAATTTACGATAAGGAAAGACAGACATTGAAGACAGACAAGATAGCCCTCTGTTATACTGGGTGCTTTGTTTTTCCGCGTCACTTACGTTGAACTTCCAAAAAGACCTCAGGCACAGCGTCGCTCCTCCATGTTTTCCTTTGCAGTGAACTCGAACCACCCTAACCCCTTTTTCGTTCCATTCAACCCAACTTTGCTTCTTTCACGAATGCGGGGTACATGTCCTCGGGTCCGTTCACCCAGAGTCGGACCTATACTCCGTTCACCCCGAAGCTGACAGTGCCGTGGGTGCTACGCACTCGTCGGACCGATCAACCGGCTTCCTTTCATCACTTATTCTCACTCTCTGCGAGCTGACATGGGCGGGAGCGTGACCACGTGGCCAAAGACAGATCTCCACAACTGGTTCAAGGCGCACGTAGTTTCCACCGGACTCTTAGCTTAGGAGTGAAGGGAGAATGGTCCTTAGGCGAACACGTGCTGAAACGAGATCCAACAAGTCCATTAACGTCTCTTATGCAAACAACGGCCGCCGCTCTCCGCAACTAACGGGCTAACCGACACGGGCGCCAACTTTTGCCTTTGGGCCGCGGGCTCGTCGCCGGCTAATGAAGCCTTCGACTGGTGCCCCTCGGCGACCCCTGCCGGACCAGCGGGAGACCAGAGCTCCAAGCGCGGCGGGGAGCTCGAGACCAGAGTCACGAATCTCGGTTCAAAAGCGGAAGGCTCGAGAACGCTCTGGCTCGCCCGGCTTCGCGGTCTGACATCTTGAACGCGGGTGAGTAGCAGTCCTTAAGTTCTGAAGCGGTTTTTAGCTAATTCGCACGAAGCCGCTTCCAACTTCTTACCGAGAAGCGTGTGTTCAAACGATTATCTATGTATACAATGGACATCGAGTGCTTTGTCTTAGAGAATAAACGGAAAGCAACGAAAGGCAGGACGCAACATCTTTCGCGTCAAGTTGGAATTGTGTTTTAATCCGTCACCGTCCCCTTTGTTGCTTTCTATTTGTTATTGTAATTTAACCAGAACGCCCTTTTTTGTTAAGTGATTCATTCTTTGACTATCTGCAATTTTTCAATGTTTTGCTTAGATCCGTGATTAATTACCTGAAGTTGAGGGTACAGTATAGCAGGGTTTTCTAAAAGAAGGTCGCGTATTTGTTTTCCTTTGATTATGTTTTCTTTTTTTTTTTTTTTCTTAAATACAGGACCACTTAGTGAAAGGGAAGTTTTCATATGGTCCCATTTGGCTTCTCACTGGAACAACCTCCACTCCATTGCTCCTCTATATCAGTGATTAAGGGATCTAAAAGACGTTTAGTACGTGATAAATAAAAAGACTTCAAGTTTCTTAGTTTGGGTTACCGAGCACGCTATGATATCATCACAGAAAAACGCGTTCGAATGAACACAGTTTATGAATCTAAAAGTGGCTGCTGAATTTAGTTAGACTTTATTTCCGCAAGTCAGTTCCAACGATTTCATGTTATCTTTAAGGTTAAAACACGGTTAAAACAACTGGGTTGCATATGAAGCACCTGGAACTGAGGAAAGCTATGCCGAGTGCCAAAGCCCCAAACTCGTCAAACACAAAGTTGGAGGCGAAAGTTCGCGGAGCGCGCCGATCCGACGCCGGCGACAAAATCGCGAAGTTATCGTCGTGATAGTCCAATAGGTGCGCTCCCTGAACTTGGGCCTCAACTTCGTGTATGACAAGTTTAGAGCCCCAAGTCGTCTGCTTCTTGCGCAGGAGCTGCAGTGACTTCAGAAGGACGCTGAGCTCTGATTGACTTTGATTGAAAAGATAGCGGGTAGACTATCAATGCTAGATGCCTTGAGGTCTACCCTCTACTCTTTTTCAATCAGCCAATAAGAGTTCGGCGTTCTGACATCATCGCCACCTCTGTGCACGAAGCAGACGAACATGCGCTCCGCATTCCTATTATACCGATTCATGCCAAACAGACTGACGTGTTTATATTATACTTTTTAGAGAGTTCAACAACTCTCGTTCCTTCCGCGATAGTGTACTTTAAAATTTGCCATTAGGACGAATACTCGTAAGATGGCTCAGAGTTTCAGAGGTGCGCGTATGCATACTGCACTTAATTTACAAGGAACACTA